AATGGAATTCCCCCACCCCACACACACCTGCATACATACCCACACAACTAGAACGCACATAAAAACCAAAGGCAAGAAAACTGTCTCTATTCTCTTGGGTTGCCCTCTGAGAATTAGGATTCTCTATTCCAGAATGAGAATCATGAGACAGACACCTGCCAGACTCCTGGGCTGGGTCAGGGTCAGTGAGATGCAAGGATGAGAAGTACTACATCAGTAAAGAATTTTTTATTTAAAGAAAACAGGATGAGGAGATAGCCCACTGATAAAGCGCACACACATGGGGCTCTGAGTTTGATCCACAGAATGTACATTTAAGGAAATCCATGTGTGGTGGGCAGCACATTTATAACCCAGTGGTGGGAGGCAGAGACAGTGGGATCCTGGGGCTTGGTGGCTAGCCATCCTCAACCACCTGATGAACTCTGGGCCAGTGAGAGACAAGGTGGGCAGGGCCTAACAAGCAACGGCAGGGTTATGTTCAGGCCTTCAGCTCCATGTTGTACACATGCATGTGCACCCATATGCATCTGTGCTGGCACTGACATACACATCATACACACACACAGACAGAAATGGAAGACATAAAAATATGAATTTGTATGAGACTCAGTAATCATAAAATGGTATTTTGTTACCCATTAGCAGACTAGAGATAGCAGGAAAACTATTTTAGAGTTTGTACGTATGGTTCATTGAAAATAGTCCCTTGCTAGTTTCTCTCCTTCCTTGGCAGGCACAAAATCCATATTCATTTTCAGTATTTCACCAAGGAAGAAACAGAAACCTAGAGAGGATCTGCAGCTTCCACGGGCTGCCCTTGTGGGTAGGGATGGAAACCAACCCTCTACAGACTTCAAATGATGCTTTAGTCTTAGCTTATGGGTCTGTCCATCCACAAGTGTCCAGCCTCTTGGCATTGTGGCACAACACTATCTTCACTAATGTGTTGGGATACATGTGTCCTGTGGGCTATGGGTGGACATACCTAAGCCCATCCCTCATGTTTCAGGAGCAGGAGGACCCCAACAAGATGGCAACCAGCTGGCCCGACTATTACATTGAACGTATCAACTCCATGGCTGCGGTAAGTGTCCGTTCTTCTCCCGACTTACCCCACATAGACAGGTCTAAGAAGGCACCTCTGATGCTCTCCAGTGCCACACTTGCTAAGGCTCAGCAGCTTTCCAGTGATTCTGAGATCAATCCATCTCCTTGGACATCAGAATCCCCTCAACTAGATAAACACATATTAACCCAGCTGGACATTTCACATCTTGGGAAATGGCCTGGGTTAGCAATTCCCTCTATTTCCTAGATATGGGAAATTAAGTCTGGTTCCCTCAGAATCTGTCTATCATAGTGGTAAAGCATTTTCTGAGCCCTTGCCCTTCCCTAGGCAAGGGTGCCCTCCCCAGGTACAGCTACCCTGGGAGTGCAGAAGCCTCCCATAGGAAGGCAAACAGCCCAGTGTGACTTCTACTCCCTTTTCCTGTGGGCCTCAGATGCAGAACCTGTATGAATTTGATGAGGAGGAGACAGACACGAGGAACCAAGTTGTAGAAGACCTGAAGACAGCCCTCCGGACACAGCCCATGAGGTGACTTGGACTGTCTTCTCTCAATCGCTTCTTTCCTTCCGTGCCCCTCCCCTGTGGTTCCATCAGCCTGAAGCCTTGCACAGTGCTGCTCCATGCTGGCCCTATTGGCCAAAGTCAGTCTTGCAGAACTCCAGAAGATCCACTTTTACCTTCTTTGCTTCCTCATTTCCATTTCTCTGTGGGTTGCTGGGAGGGTGTGGATAGGCGGGGAAATGATATGGGGAAGTGGGGAAGCCTTGGGTCGCAAGACACTCTGAAAAGAGGAATTGAGAGCTCAGAGAGGAAGGAGGGAATGGGTTGAGAAACCCTCCACACACTAGGGGGCAGTGTGGAGTCTAACGGCATGCTCTAGCTGCCTAGAGTGGGAACCAAGCAGGAAAGAAAGGGGATGGATGGGTGTCTGAAAGGCTACAGAATACAGAATACTTCTCCCCCTTCCTAGACCACAGTGGAGACTCCAAAGGCACCAAGGCCACAGGAGTTCCTTGCTTCTGACTCTTCACAGTGGTCTGCTTGAAGTGGCTTCGAACATTGGATGGACCTACTATTAAATCCTCAGCAATCTTGCAAATGAGTTATTAGACCAATTTTTGATTACATTTTAAATTATATAAACTTGTGATTAAATAAGTGGTATTTAAAATAATATTGGTATACATCACTAATTACCCAATTATTTTTCTACATTTTGCTATTACATATTTCTTTCTATTAGGTACATTCTTGAGTTTATGCCCATGATGCATGGTGAAGATAGTATATAATGGTATATAATCAAAAGGTTCTTTTAATTCTCCCATTTTAGGAATCATATGACATCATTGTAGAAATTCTGTGCAGCACACAAAAGCATAAAATAGGAAAAAATAAAAAATACATACTGTTAAATTGAGAACATACTCTGTTGATATTTACACACCATAAGATTCATAGAGATACATTTACATATTAATTATAGTGGTTCTGAACTCAATTCATGGCCATTTTCTCAGATCATTGATTATGCTACTAAATTAACGCCTCTGCAACTTACTCTTTGTTAATGTATTGCCATAGATGTCTCACACACGGAGACACAGATAAAAGCTAAAATCTTGCTTCCTGGAAGTAATGGCTTTAAATAACAGCATAAAATATACAAACAGAGTTGAAGAATACGCCAGTTTAATTAAAAAAGGCTCACAAATATTAAAAAATGCAGGCGATAGCAATAAATGTGCTCTAATGCTTGAGCTGGCAGTGGGTGTGATAAGCACTATAATCTTGAAGTACCGATGGGTGAAAATGATATTTTGCAATATTGGCAACAGCTCTAATTTGATATGAAAATAGCAGTGATTTACTTGCGTTGACAAAGCCTCTGTTCTTCTAACAGTTCTGTGCTTGCTAGCTTGCATTCATCGTTGATGGGATGCTAGTTTTCGGTTAGAGGCTATCCAAGATAAAAGTATAGTTCTCTTTTCCCGTAGAGGTCTTTGGACTCTGAGTGAGTGCTTCCCGGAGGCTCTTGATGGGAACACAGACTCCAGATTAAGAGTGACTGAGCTAATGTCTGTACTGCTAAGCATGGAGATAAGTGTTGTTTCCAGAGCGTCCTGAGTGGGAACTTTCTAGCCCTGGTTCCTTGAGTCAGTTCTTGTCACCTGTCTATAATTCTCTCAGTACGCAGTCTGATTAGAGATGAGTCTCTGGTTGACCCACTATGATTATAATCATGTCTTCACCCATTTCCCCACCTTAGCTATGCAAATGACAGTGGGTGATACACAGATTTAATGTGGGAATTATCTTTATGTCACTGAGACCAAGTGCCAGAAAAAAGCACCTGAAGGGAGAAAGGACTTTCAGAAGGTTCTGGTTATGGTTACTCCATTTTGACTCTGGCTCTGGGAAGGAAAACTCCGTGGTTGCAGGAGTGCATGGCAGAGGCTGTTCTTACAGTGGACGAGGAGGGAGAGAAAGAGGAGGGAAGCAGAACACAATAAACCTTCTGCAGCATGACTTCAGAGCATGCTTCTTTCGCCTACCCATCCTAAAGTTTCTAGGACCTCCAAAACTAGCTTTAGCAGTTGGGGACCAAACTTTCAATACTCAAGCCTTTTGGTGGGACACGACCATAGTATACAATATTTAAAATGTAAATAATTATGCTGGGGAATGACTCAGTGGGTGAGGTCCTTGCTATACCAGCATGAGCACCCGAGTTCAGATCTCCAGCACCCATTTAAATGCAACATATCTGTAACTCCAGGGCTAAGAGGTAGAGATGAATGATCCCCTGGAGCTTGCTGGCCAACCAACTGAGATAACATCTTGCTTACCTCAGCATGCATGCACACAAAACACACGTACGTATAAATAAATACAAAATATAAAATAAAATACAGAGAAAATGCAAATCCTTTGGTGAGGGGTGTCCCTGAAGGTGTAGGCAGGCAGAGAAAATAACTTGGAAGTTGAGAATGAAAACTCAGTTCAGACTGACTTCTGTCAACCTGGATCAAAACTTCAAGAGAATCTGATTCCAGGTGGCTTATTGCCAACAAATTTAAACATTGTATAATTTGCAAAAAAAAGTTTCCTGGCATAATACAATGTCTTGTGCACAAAGAATTGTAATTACATTGAAATTCAGCTCGGGGTACATGTCATTTCTTCCATTAGATGGATTCTGGAGCTAGGCTACCTGTGTTAGCTCAAAGGCCTAGGGAAGAATCTGGCTCAGTCTTGGTCATACAGATACGTAGAGGTCATTTGGTCTACTAACCACCTCTAGTCCTGGCTATGGGAGCTTGGGGGAGCCTCTGGCTGTACAGTATTGAAAGTGACATTGAGTATTACATATCTCCAGTTCTGGTTGTAGAAGCTAGCAGGGCTCCTGAATGTAAGGGTCGTTTCGATTAACAGCCACCTGTGGTTCTGGCTGTGGGAATTTGACACGGCCTGACCCAACAGATAACACAGATCACCAGGCTGTTAATTACCTTCTGTCCTCCGCTTTCTACATGGGAGAACAGGTTTTACAAACTTTCTCTTGAGAGAACATTCCTGTGTGTGTAACATTCCTGGTTTCCCTGGAGATCTGTGGACACAGGGACCTTTGTGTTGCTTTCCCAACACTGGGACTGGAGAGATGCTCAGTACTTAGGGACACTTCCTGCTCTTCCAGAGGGCCAGGGTTCTGTCCCCAGCACCCATATTGGATAGCTTACCACTGCCTTTAATTCCAAATCCAGAGATCCAATGCCTCTTCTGGCCTCCTCAGACACTGGCACACATGTGAATGTACACAGACAGACAGATATACACACACAAATAAAAAAAATGAGTTTTTTAAAAAGAATTTTAAAACTGAGTCTTCTGAAAGGCTGAGATTTGGGGACCTTTGGATAAACTCATAGATGAGCCAGGAGGCTGCTGGGGTGCAGCATGGTGAATGGTGAGCATATTGAGTAGCTATTTGCTAACTGTGTGTGGAACACACAATTAGGAAACTCCTTTTGGTCTCTGTCTTAGGTTTGTGACCCGCTTCATCGAGCTGGAAGGCTTGACCTGCCTGCTGAATTTCCTCCGGAGCATGGACCACACCACGTGTGAGAGCCGCATCCACACGTCTCTCATTGGCTGCATCAAGGCTCTGATGAACAACTCTCAAGGACGGGCACACGTCCTGGCACAGCCTGAGGCCATCAGTACCATTGCGCAGAGTCTGCGCACAGAGAACAGCAAGACTAAGGTTGCAGTGCTGGAAATTCTGGGTGCAGTGTGCCTTGTGCCCGGAGGCCACAAGAAGGTTCTCCAGGCCATGCTACACTACCAGGTGTATGCAGCTGAACGTACTCGTTTCCAGGTGGGCAATGGGTCAGAGTTGGGGCATCACCTTGGGAGGGAAAGGGTGATCCAGGGTAAAGTTGAGATACTGAGAACCGTATAAAGGAAACTGGAGGGAAGGGACATCTTGCAGGCTGTCTGTTCACTCATGGAAGGGATAAAGAGCTAGGACCCAGAAGGCATCTCTCAAAGGGCATAGGAAACTGTACATTCAGTACTGTGGTCAGGTTTTCAAATAGATTTGTCCTCTTCCTAGACTGTGATTCCTTGAGGCTGAAATACTGGTCTGCTTCATGCTTTTGTGGCTCTGGCTTTCTGAGTTCAGCATCTGGCGCAGGATAGAAGCCCAGATAAGAATTGTTGAATGCAGGCCACTCTTGCTCCCATCTTTGGTCTGACCTGAGCACAGTGCCTGGATTAAGTCTCCATGGTTAACCTGACATTGCAAACTCTGTGATCATGAGCCAGCGTGTTGATCTGGCACTACACATTTGCAAATGAGCATTTAACCTGTGCAGAAAGTGGCCTCTGACCCTTTGGGAAAGGTGCTAAGCAGATTAAAAGTAGCATCCATGAGGTTGGGAACTGGGCAGGAATGGCCAGGGACTGTCAACAGATGGTGTAGAGTCAGAAAGCACAGTGAAACCCAAGCCCTGAGGGCTGAGCAGGAATCTAGGGGTTGTGGAGATCTGGGGTTGACCCAATAAGTTAGGGAGACATGATCCATGATCAGGCAGAGAGAATGGAGGGGCTTCCTGGAAGGTCAGGAGAGCAGGGCAAGAGGATTTTCAGGTAGCACCCTGCATGTACCCAACTGATCCTGTCTTCCTCTTAGACACTGCTGAATGAGCTGGACCGAAGTTTGGGTCGGTACCGGGATGAGGTAAACCTGAAGACAGCCATCATGTCCTTCATCAATGCTGTCCTCAACGCCGGGGCTGGAGAGGTGAGGCCTGATCCTTTTACCTTGGATCTCAGGTCATATGTGAGTTTGAGAGCTTTCTAGGCAGATGACAGAGAGAAGGGTGAAAGTGTCTGGTTGGTGTGTCCACTGCTGCCATTGTCATTTTCAGATGCCTTCAGAACCTCTTCCCTCCTTCACTTGGGGACTTGTAGGATGGCTTGCATGAGTCCAGCCCACTCTACCAAGGCCCCAGACTGCTACACTCCATCTTAGCACTGGCTGTTCACAGTGGGGTTAAGGACTGATTCTGACTTCGCTTCTCACACTGTTCCTTGGGGTGTTGTCTAAGCCCCAGAAGGCTCTGAGCTCTGTCCGTCAGCAGTAGCGTGGTGCACTGTGGGTCATGCATAAATCCCCAGTAAGGCTGGCAGGTGACGGCTCAGGGAGTGAAACATCTTTATGAGAGGAGAAAAAAACTTTGGTTCTTCTTTCTAGAGCTTTCTAGAGACCCACTTTTGGGCTGTTTTCTAGATTCTTGTGGGAAGGCTAGAAAGGGTGACTTCTGGTTTCTCTCCTTCTGGGGACAGAATGGGATACCCAGATCCCTGTAACAGTGATATCAAAAACCCTGAAAGAAGCCAAGTCTCAGATTCTAAGGCAAACAAATGTTCTGCTCAAGTTCAAGCCAAAGAACAAAAGAAGCCAAGAGAGTGATGAACGATCTCTCTTCTTCCCCCTCTTGCCAGAATACCTGTGTGTACGTGTGTGCACCTGCACTCTTGCATGCACGTGCTGTTCTCATTCCCTATGTTACGTCAGATATTCTAGGGAACAATCGATTCCTCAGATGGGGACATCATGTTACTTGGTCAGTACCAGCTTTTTAAGGCTGTCATCTTCCCTGCCATGCCAGGAAAATGCTAAGAATATGAACCATCTTAGTTGCCCCTCTGTTTCTGTGATGAGACACTATGACCAAGGAAAATTATAGAAGAGTTTATTAGGCATCCAGTTTCAGAGGGTTAGAGCCATGACCATCACAGTGGGAAGCATGGTGACAGGCAGGCAGGCACCACACTGAAACAAAGCTGAGAGCTCACAAACTTACCAGCAAGTGGGAAAAAGATAGCTGACAGGGAAAGGTGTGAATGACACACCTCCAACAAGGCCACACCTCCTGATCCTTCCTAAATAGTTCCGCCAACTGTGGACCAGTCATTCAAATACATGAGCCTATATGGGGGGGGGAGTTCTCATTAAAACTACCACATTCCACTCCTGGGTCCCATAGGCTTATGGTCATATCACAGTGCAAAATGGATTTAGTCCAACTTCAAATGTCTCCATAGTCTTTCATAGTCTCAACATTGTTTACAAGTCCAAAGCCTTTTCTGAGAATCAAGGAATTCTCTTAATTTTTATAACCCCTGTAAAACCAAAAGGCAAATTACATACTTACATCATACAATAGCAAGAATATACATTACCGTTCCAAAAGGAAGAAATGGGGCATGAGGAAATAGTGGACCACAGCACAACGAAAACCCAGCAGAGCTAACTCCAAATCCGATAGCTCTAAATCAGATGCCAAAGGAACTAGATGGCTCTCCCCTTGGCTTTGCTGGCTGCAGCACACTTCTCTCTTTGGACGGCAACTCTCTTTGGCAGATATCCCAAGCCTCTGACATCTCCAACATCCTGGGGTCTCCAGTGCAATGTGAGCTTCTCTTTCACAGCTTCCCACAGTGGTCTCTCTGGGCTCCAGACAGGGACGTTCCTCCCACACGCCTAGCTTCGTGGACTTGCTCAACTAGAAGGAAGATCCATGGCCCCTTCGCTTGTTTATCTTTCATAACTCTGCATTCAGAACCACAAGTTGGCTGCCTGTGGGGAATGGAACTGCATTTGCATAAGCTTTGACTTGTTGATGCTTTTAAGGACCACAAACTCTGGTGTGGTCTCACTCCCAAGACACCTCTTCTTTGATTTTATTTCCCCCAATCTGTATTAGCACAGACCTTGGCTCCAACATTCAATTTCCTGGTGCTCCGTTCTCCTCAAATTATGCATTTGGGGTTTCTGTTTGTACTATTTTCTCTTTTTCACTGTGCACCTGCATAAGAGTGATTACTAATGGCCATGAGATTGTCAATATTAAAATCTCCTCTGCCAGTGGAAGTAGCCCAAAACTCTTCAATCTATCTGCTTCTTAGCGCAAGGGAAAACAGTAACCACAGTCTTTGCCAAAATGTCACAAGAATGGTCTCTAAGCCAGGTGCTAATATTGTTCTCTTCTGAAACCTCTTGGGCTGAATCCCCATAGCCCACGTTGTCCGCAGCACTGTTGACTTCCAGACCCTGCTAGCCTGGCCTGGTAAGCCCCTCAACCACTTTCCTAGTTCAAAGTTGCAAAGTCCAAAAATCATCACGGCCAGGCTTGTCCCAGCTGACTCCCTGCTACCCATTTCTGTCTTAGTTACCTTTTTATGCTATGATGAGACGCCTAACCAAGAAACTTATATAAGAAACAGTTTGCTGGGGGCTCACAGTTTCAGAAGGTAAATCCATGACCACCCTGGAGTGGATCACAGCTTGAGGAAGGCAGGCATGACATTGGCGCAGAAGCTGAGAGCTTGCATGTGACCCACAAACACAATGCAGAGAGCGCTAACTGGGAAAGCTGTGGGATTTTGAAATCTCAAATCCACCTTCAGTGACACAACTTCTCCAACAAAGCCATTCCTCCTAACCCTTCCTAAACAGTTCCACCAATTGTGGACCAATCATTCAAATATATGAACCCTTCAAACCACCACACCAATCCCACAAATACATATTAACCCACTTTTACAAAAGAGGACGCAACGGCTTGGCCAAGGGTACAAAACTAGACCTTGGAACGGAAAACTCGCCAAGCCCCGCTCTGCTCCTTTGCAGCACTGTTCTTTGATATCAGAGGGCAAAGCCAACAACGACTGGGGAGGAAGGGAGGTGGCGTGGTGGGGACAGGGACTGGCTGGCAGGCTGGCTTTAGAGAACTAGCAAGGTTACAGGCAGTCTCTGAAAGAGGGTCTAGATGAGCTTGTTGCACAGTGTGACATGGAATAGCGGCTGACGTCGGTGCTGACAGAGTCTATGGGCATTTCTCTTGGACATGAGCTACTGAATCTGGTCCTCCCTTGGTAACCCTCAGGATAACCTGGAATTCCGCCTACATCTCCGGTATGAGTTCCTGATGCTGGGGATCCAACCTGTGATTGATAAACTCCGACAACACGAGAACGCCATCCTGGACAAGTAAGGCCTCTGCTACCCAGACCCACCATAAACCTGCAGTGACAGGGGAAGAACACCTTTCCTAAGGGACTAAGTGCCATATGAAGCCTAGTCTTAGGGTCAGCATTGTGTGAGCCCACGCTGGCCTGTTTTCCTCATCCCTGATGTTGTAGACAGGTGAACCAGTGTCCTGGTCCGCAGTCAAGGTAGTCTTGCCGCTGGGAGACATTTAGAAATAGATGCGGGTGTCCTTTGGTTTTCAGTGCTTGAGAGAGTGTTGCCAACATTCTTAGTTTTGAAGGAGCAGAAATGCTAAATATACAGCTCTATGGAGAACTGTTCAACCCCAGATGTATGCTCTAAATATCGATGATTAAAATGCATGGTCATGTTCTTATGTGTGGCCAGTGAGCCACACTGGATCCATCTCACTCGGGGAAGCTACTTTATTACAATGGGGGTTAAGCAGAGAGCATGCAGGGCAGGGACGCAAGCAGCTCAGCAAGGATGAACTGCTACAATGCAAGTATGGGGAACAGAGTCTGGGTCGCCAGCACCCATGTTAAAGTAGGGTTACATGGGGCCTGAAACACCAGTGCTGTGGGAGGGGAGGCAGAAGGATTGCTGGGGCGTTCCTACCACCACCAGTCTTGCTCCAAGTTCAGCAGGAGACCCTGGATCAAGGGAATAAAACAGAGACACAGAAGGGACTCCTGACCAACATCCTCCATTAGCTTTCATAAAAACATATAATACACATGTGCATGTAGCACAAACATACAGCGCACGCGCGTACACACACACACATACACACACACACACACACACACACACACACACACACACACACCAGGGTAAGGGAAAAAGAGAAGAAGAGAAAATAGATTGTTTCCATGTGGAAAGGGGGCAGTGTTTCCATGGAAAATAAGGGGGAAATTTGCTTTGAGGACTAAGTTAGAGATAATATGGTAATATTAGAAAGACAGATGGAATACAGTGGGTTTTGAAAGCCGGTGATTTTATCCTCCAAGAGGTACCTAGCAGTGCCTAGAGGTATTTTTGAATTGGCACAGTTGGAGGTAGGGTTTCATGCTATAGCCCAGACTAGCCTCGAACTCATTACATAGCTCAGGCTATCTCCAATTGATGATACTTCTACCTTAGCCTCCTGAGTGCTGAGATAGAGGATCTGACCCATGGCTGACTGGGGCAGTGTCTACTGTCAACTTGTGGGTAAAGGTCAGGGATGTTGACCAATATCCTGAAGTACAGAAAGCAGCTTCCCGTCACCAAGGACAACTGCACCTCACAAGTCAACAGTGTCAAAGTGGAGAAGGGTGGCTCTGTGGTGACTGGACCTTGGCATGACCATGCAAACCTACCAAGAAGTGGGGGCTGATTTATATTGTATAGCCTCTGTTCGGTCTTGCTTTTCAGATAGTCAGTGAGACGGTGAAGGGCTGGCACACCCGCCGGGGCTGCTCCAGCTCTGCTAACAGTCCTCCTGCACCCCGTCTCAACCCCTCTGTCTATCTAGGCACTTAGACTTCTTTGAGATGGTACGGAACGAGGACGACCTGGAGCTAGCCCGGAGGTTTGACATGGTGAGGTGCCTGTGGGGGGTGGGACAGTTGCATGGGGTCCCAGGAAGCCCCCAAATGACTGCTCCAGTTCCTGTGCCTAAAGTCAGTCCAGTGCTGGCTGGATCCCCAGTGGTACCCTGTGGCCAGGTCCTGTTTCTGAAGGAACTCTGGTGGTGTGCTTTGCTCTGGGGGGTCTTACCTCATAAGCCATACCTGGTCAACTACCTACAAGGAACCAAAAGCCCCAAAGTTAAGACAGCCAGTACATGAGCGAACATACTTAGCCTCAAATCCTGTCCTTGGCTGACTTTTCCCTGCTGCCCCTAATTTCCCAAGTTGCCTCTTTCTATCCCTAGCCAGATGGCGCTTAGTGATCCAAACCATTTCATCTGGGTCTCAGCAGATGAAATACACACATCTCTATCACTTACATGTTGTATCATACAATCCCACCTAAACAATAGCATCATTTGGGGCGAGGCTTGCTGGCATCGAGCATCACCCCTTACACACTCAAAAGTCCTGGAGCTGCACATAAGAAGTCAGAGATCAGAGAAGTTCTCAGGTTCCTAGCTGTCACACAACTAGAGCAGATCTGGGCCTTGAACCATAGGCCACCTGCTACTTTGAAGCATCTATGTCCCCTTGCTTCCCTTAGGGTGGCTCAGCTGTCCCTAGCCAGGGTGGTTTTACTCCTGTCTCTCCATGAGGCATTGGTCAAGAGTGGACATGCTTTGCGTGTCTCAACTTGGGGAGGGAAGAGGGAGGGGACCATTGGCATCTAGGGAGCAGTGACTAGGGATAGCACTAGACATTCCTCAAGACATGGAATGCCCCACCCCACACCAAAAGATTATCTGCCTCAAGATGCCAGGGGTGCTGAGACTGGGAAATCCATCGTGTAAACACTGCTACCACCTCTGCTTTCCTCCTTTCCGTTCCTGGGTGGCAGTTGGGAAAGGGGAACTCTTCCCCAGAGATGGAAGGAACTGGGAGGGCGGAAATCGTTTCTTCCTCTGCTGTCTGGTTCTGCCCTTCACTGTGGTCTAAACTCCCCAGGTCCACATCGACACAAAAAGTGCCTCCCAGATGTTTGAGCTGATCCACAAGAAGCTGAAGCACACGGAGGCCTACCCCTGCCTTCTCTCTGTGCTGCACCACTGCCTGCAGATGCCATGTGAGTACCTGCTCTCACCACTGCTCTCCCCAGCCTTGCTCTCCATCCACAGGTAGATGTGAGCCTCTGATTGACAGCTGCCTGACCTGTGAGTCTGGCACAGTTCTCTCTGTGCTTGACTTCAGGAGGCCAGGCCCAGTGACTCAGGTTCCTCCCTCCTTGCCTCATGTCGCCCTGGGGGTGGAGCTAAGTACATGGTTGGAGCAATTCCAGCCTTGTGGGCCAACAAGCAACAGTTTGATCATGACAAAAATGTAGCTTCTGTAATCTGTTGATGGCAGCTACATTTTAGTATTCTTGTCATTTGCAAAAGGAAGTTTTATGCTTAGAGAAACAGAACAGATATGGAATGGTCATGTTGCTTTGTTTGTTTTGACTATAGTGTGTGATTATATGCATGTGTGTGTGAAAGTGTGGGTAAGCGTGTGCGCATGCATATGTGCACACGTGTGTGTGTGTGTGTGTGTGTGTGTGTGCCAGAAGTCAATATCAGGTGCCTTTTTCAATCATTCCACACCTAATTTTTTGAGACAGGGTCTCTCACTGAACCTGGAGACCACAGATTCAGTTAGACTAGCAGGCCAGTCAGCCTCAGGGCTCCTCCAGCCTCTGACTCCCCAACCCTGTTATGCAGATGCTAGGGACTGAGCTCCTAAAGAATGTGTGGCCAGTGCTTTACCAGTTTGAACCATCTTCCCGGCCTCATGCTTGCTTTAGTTTTAAGCTTTACTTTTCTTGTTTACTCCCGCCCTCTGTGTAGACAGCAGACGGCATCTTGGGAGCAGGTGACTGAGTTCTCAATACCCATGTGTCCATGGGTAATGTTTTGAGAATAAATTATTCAAGATTACTCATTGTTGCCCCAGAGTGTAATGGGAATGAGCCTCAGCTGCACCAAGCATTCCAAAAAGTAGAAGATTTTGAAAATTTGTTTGGTCCTCTGCAAAGATCATCCTAATCAGGATCCCCAAAGCCATGGTGGTGGTGAGAGCCACAACTTACTGTGTTTCAACTTGAGGCATGTGTGATGGGAGGTCCTTAGCACATTGTTGCTGAACTCAGGACACCTGTGTGCTATGACTTCCGCATGAGTTCTTCACGGTTTGGGATCAGGCTTTAGATGAAGCATGCCTGTATGCTGCATTCCCCGGGGACAGCAAACTGACGAGTTAACAACATGGTCTGGGTAGAATGGTGAGAGGGAGGACAGAGACAGCTACACCAAGAAGCCACAGTTCTCCAGACCCAGCCCAGGGCTGGAATAAATGGCTCCCAATTAAAGGCATTTCTTCTGGTCTTTGGGGACACACATAGACATATCATACACACACACACACACACACACACACAGAGAGAGAGAGAGAGAGAGAGAGAGAGAGAGAGAGAGAGAGTTTATTAAATCCCAAATACAGTCAGATGCTCATGGAAGTTGCTGGAATCTGATTTCTTCTGTTCCCAGGGGCTTCCTGTTTGGTGGCCCATAAGCAATGTGACTGGGCCCCTCTCTTCTGTCTCTAAATGGGGCTTTGAAAACACAGTTGTCTAGGTTGTAGGCAGAATTTGATGCCAGGATTAAACTAATTTTTCCTACTGGTCCACATCCAGGGCGACTGTAATCATTGAGGATGAGAAAACACAAAGTCTTTGCCTTCATAGTTCAAGGTCCTCTCCACCAAGAAGCCTCCCTGGCTCCATCCAGCCCTTCATTAGCTCATTCTGATGGCTCAGCACACACCTGAATCAGCTTCCATCCATCTTTTTCTGTAAAGTGAAAACAAAGATAATCATGAAATCTTGTATGACGTTTTCCCATGAGACTTCATGATTGAACATGTAATATTTTCAAATAGGTGCTTTTTATAGACAGTAGGAAAAATCATTCTCATACCCAGGGCCCAGTATGCCCAGGGTCTCATAGGAAAGAAGAAGTATTTTGCACTGTAGGAAAATGTCGGGAGGGCTAACCAGGTCATGAAGGCCTCTGCAGATAATGAGGAGCCCACTGGATTGAGAGTCTCCGTGACTGGTAGCAGTGCTGCCTCTTCCATTAGACCAGAGCTTCCTGAGAGGGGGAGGCTTGCCTTGCTGGCCTGAGCCTGGGCAGTCACAAAAGAACAAGGGCTCCAGGGCTCCCAGCAGATACGGTGCCCTCTGCCCCCCCAGACAAGCGGAACGGTGGATGCTTCCAGCAATGGCAGCTCCTGGACCGCATCCTTCAGCAGATTGTCCTCCAGGATGAGCGGGGCGTGGATCCTGACCTGGCCCCACTGGAAAACTTCAATGTCAAGAACATCGTCAACATGTGAGTTACAGCTGACCTCTGACCCAGCCTTGGCCAGCTCCAGTTCTCTCCCTCTGGGCTCTCCTAGCAAAACTTCAGCTCCCTCTCCAATCCCTGTGAGGCTTCAGAAAGTGTTCCACAGTATGCAGGGCGCCTGTCCAGTGTGGCAGCTGGGTCAGTTACTTTTCTTCTTTGTGTAGCAAAATGCTTGTACAAAGCAGAAGAAGGAAGGAAGGAAGGAAGGAAGGAAGGAAGGAAGGAAGGAAGGAAGGAAGGAGG